TAGGTAAGGTAATTCCAATGCAGCTTTTCCCTCCCAGATAGTGGCCATTTCCCTTTAAACATGGATGGCGTAAGTTCTAAATTACCCTGTTATTTCTCGCCATGTTTTTCTGGACGTGTCTGAAAGTTCCTTTCCCAAGGACCCTGCTCAATCTGTAGTTGACAGACACACAGAAACAGAGGTTCAGAGAAGTGTAATAACTTGTTGAGGGTCTCACAGCAACTAAAAGAGCCAGGATTCTGACTCCAAAGATTAAACTTTTATGCAGCAAGAAGCTTGATCCTTCTCTCTGATCTTCCTTTCTGTTAAAATATCTACCCTGTGGGATCTTTTTAGGGTTAGAGCTAAACTATGTAAAGGGGCCTGGCCTGATGCTTGGCATGTTTTGGGCTTATTCTAGGAGGATAATCCCTTATAAATGACCCCGGGAGATTTTAAACAAAATTCTGCATTTTTAACCAATTGCATAGCATTTTAAGTTAAATGTTAACCAGGGCCAAGCTTGTGAGTAAGCTGATTTTAGGTCCATTTATTTTTATTTAGTTAGTTATTTATTTTTATATTTCTTTATTGATTTCAGAGAGGAAGGGAGAGGGAGAGAGAGGTAGAAACATCAATGATGAGAGAGAATCATCAATTGGCTGCCTCCTGCACGCCCCCTACTGGAGATTGAGCCTGGAACTCAGGTATGTGCCCTTGGCTGGATCGATCCTGAGACCCTTCAGTCCACTTGCAAAAGCTCTCTATCCACTGAGCAAAACCGGCTAGGGCTCAGGTCCATTTATATAGACGTAAATAGAATCTTGAATTATAGTTAAAAACAAAATAAGGACTGTATCAATGGCCAAATTCATGAATTAAGTACATCCAGATAACATCACCAAGTCAACTTCTACATGAACATTTTTTTTCTTTTTTAGTATCAGAAGAGAATATATTTATGAAAATAACTTATTGATTTCTTTTGAAGATATTGGTAATTTACATGTAATAAGGAGCACACTTCGCACCCATATAAATCCCACTCCAAGCATGATGTAAAACATTTCCAATACCCTAAGTACATATTGAATTTCAAATTCTCTTACAATTTCACCATGGTTACAACCTCAGGAGATCACTTGGTCTTACCCATCATGATCTAGAAGTAGACAAGGGCCAATTAAGATAAATGTGTCTGAGTACATTATTTGAGGAAATGATTGCTGTGTATAATTCTAACAAGAGGCTTTTTCAATCTGCTGATGTTCCCTTAGCACACGGACTTGAATCAAAATTCATGCTTGAGCACCAATAAGTCACTCTACATTGGACTCTCCATTATGGCCATGGTATTGTTGCTCACTATTTTGGCTGCCATAGTTTCCACAAGTAAGTCATTTCAGAACTGTGCAGAGTGAGGGCTGTCTAGCTAAACTGCCTGGGTCTAGGGAACTTCACACACCACGTACTTTTGATTTCTCATAACTTCCCTGTTTCATAACCTTGTTCTTTTTTGTTTTTTTCTTAAAAATATTGGCCTGTAAAGGACAAAGGAAATTTAAGTTCTCCACAGGAGAAATAAAACACTAAGAAATAAGGGTTTGTTGGGTGAAGCTGGGATTTGGAAGGCAACAAACCACTGTACTAAGCAAATTTGTTCTCTCTTCTTCCTTCCTTGCCCTCAAGACCCCGTTTTTGATCCTATGAAGGATAATATTGTTGAGAGTCTTACAGCACTCACTTAGCTGAAGAGGAAAACGAGACATTGGAGGGAAACAGATTTCAGGTCAAGGCTAGACCAACGGGTTTCAAAAACTAGCCATCCACCAGCTCTGTATGAGTACGTGTGTGTGCAGCTGGCCTCCATGGATGAACCACAATCATCCATTTTTAAAAATGAAATATGATTATTAATAATTGCATTAAAGTAAGATTGGGCATATGTGTGAATACACTAAACCATTAATAAACATGAGATAGTTTGCACACCGGGGCTTCTTTGGGTCCTACTGAGTCAACAGTCACAAGGAAGAGCCTAGTCTGAGTTTTGTTTGTTTTCCTTTTTTAAAAAACATTCTTCTAGCCCGGCCAGGGTGGCTCAGTGGTTGAGTGTCATCCCCTGCACCAAGAGGTTGCTGTTTTGATTCCTGATCAGGGCACATGCCAGGGTTTGGGGCTCTGTCCCCAGTAGAGAGCTTTCAGGAGGCCGCCCCAGTAGGGGGTATGCAGGAGGCAGCCAGTGTTTCTCTCTCTCCCTCTTCGTCCTCTTCCTCTCTCTAAAAATCAATAAAAACATATTAATAAACAAACAAAAACATTCTTCTAAATTTAATTTTTTCCGCCTCTGGCTTTGTACAGATTTCGTTTCTATTAAAGTAATAGCAGAAGTACTATGCTAGTACATGGTTAGAAAAAGATCTCATAAACTCTTTGACTGACATGTTTTATTTTCTCTTCAACTCTTCCCCAATTTAGAATATTTGTGTGGGAAAATAAAGGTGTTGCAAAGAAGGTAAGCTTGAAGGGTTCGTGTCAATGCCTTTTGATGTTTCTACTCTAATAAAAATAAATAAATAATTCTCTCTGTTCCTCTCCTCTTTCTCCTGAACTCTCCAGTTTACACCCTGGATCCTGACAAATCGAATTCAGTGGCTGCCTCCATCACTGTCCACACCTTCCAGTGATATTGTTAGCTTTCTATATTTACATGGAATTGTGCCATGAACTTCTACAGAAACGGCACTTCAATCCTAAACTCTCAGACTAAGGGAACTAAATCTCAATAGTGTTTGATGAAATTACATTGGGATGAGTTGTTTGGTTTGTTCTTGATGTCCTTCAGTATTTTGTTTACTGAAAGCGATGACTGAAACAGACAAAACATAGAAGCAAATCAACAGAGTCCTTTTAGTGCTTCCAGGCAGAAAGCATGGGGAATGTAGACCAGGGTAGTGGGCTGTGTGAGTGAGCCTGATGGAGTAGGAGGCCACTGGCAAAGATCTGGAGGAAGACAACTCCAGGCTGAAGCAGTCCCCCATCCCCTGTCGTTCCACACCCAGCATGCTCTGCTACTTTACATTAGATATCGGGCTTCATAAGCATTTGATGTACAATTTTTGTAAATCTAACCTATTGCCCAGTTAAAACTTAAATCTCCTTTACTTCCATCCACTTCCTGTGGCCATCTAAACAAACACCTGTAATGGTATGAAACCAGTACTTACCACTAATCCCAAGTAGCCTGCTTCTTTTAGTCCAGTTAGGGCTTTCAGCAAGGTCTTTCTTTGATTCACCAGCCATCCCTTTTAGGCTGCCATTCATTATTCCTAGTTCTGTTTTGTTGGATGTCAATCTTTTCTATGTCTTAGTTCCATGAGCCAATCCACAGACTTTGCCTTGAACAATAACCAACATATTGCTAGTGCTCCATAAATGTTGGCTTCTATTATTGCAATAAAGCCCACATAGCAATAAACCTGTGAGATAGGCACTATTATTCTCACTTTACACATTGGAAGTCGGCCTCAGAAACATTAAGTGACATCCAAGTTCATACCATACAGCAGATAAAAGACTCAATATTAGGTCTTTTGGGGTCCAGAACCCGGACTATAGAAGATTTGACTGCCTGCTTTCAGCAATAGAAGGAAAAAGAATACTCCTTAAGGCAGAAAAGCATGATTCCTGTCTTTTCACTGTCGATATTTTCTTTATGTTTCTTTTTAGTTGATTTTTGCCCTTTTCCTGTCAACATATTCTTTACATCCACCTCTTATCAATTATAAAAGAAACAATGTAGAAAATATTGTAAAATATAAAAGAGCAAGAAAAAACAAGAGAGAGAGAGAGAGAGAGAGAGAGAGAAGGAGAGAGAGAGAGCGCATTTATGATGACACCTTTGGGGCAGCTCTTTCACACTGACTCATTTTGAACTCTTGACACCTAAACTGGTTCTCACATGTACGCCTGGTTCCTTTAATGATCATTTCTGGGCAGGCTCAGGTAATAAAAACCATCACTGTGCACAAATTATAAAACAGTAGCTATATCAAAACTCTACACATAACCTTTTTATACATTTGCTGGGTGAGTGTATTATGAAAGTCATCTAACACATGGCTTTCCCATTCTGATCATAAAGACACAGTAAGATTTTTGACATCATGATCCAGTACACACTTATGTGAAACAACACTATATTACTACATAACACACTCTGATATTTTGTATTCTGTTTATCCTAAATACAGGAAGTAGACAACTATATAGATTTAATAACCCTCTCTAAAGAGCACAATCCACAGTTGGAAATACACCAGCCAAACCATTTCATAGCCACCTTTGTGAATATGCATCTTGATTTAGTACTTCCATTTCATGTCTGACAACTGTCTTAGATTTTCAACTGTTGTATTCAATTACATGGATCTCTTGAAGGACAATAGTCTAATACATCTTAGGTTTTGCTTTGCTATTTTTTTTCAATCCTGCTTATTAAACAAACTTTCCCACAACTTAATATTTACAACTCTGGAATCATCTAGTCATTTAATAGGTTGTGTGAGTGGGGCTCTAGTGTTGCAAATAGACAAACGTGCTGCTCGTTATTTAGAAATGATCTGCTTTTCACTTACTCATGTTATTCTTTTTGTAGTGAAGAACTTCAGACGGGAACTTCGCAAAATGAAACTGCAGTGCACTACCAAGCACATGAAAGTATCTACTTTAAGAATGATCTTCACAATGTGCCTTAAGACCCAGAGGTTCTCCAAGGCTTTAGGCCCTTGACTGCAGAAGGCAATGACCAGATCTCACCATGTCTGTCCTTTTCAGCTCCAGGATGATTTTTCTGTCAATATTTCATGGCGTTACAACATGTCAGTGATGTTGGTTAGAGTGTCTTTAGCTCATCAGTGTGTAGTCACCCTTATTGGTAATTAGTCTTAATTTTTTATACAAAAATTGGCACAGTCTTTCTGGGCATAGCAGAGCTCTCTCCCAAATACAAACTGAACATTTTAGAATTGTATATTTTGTTTAGACCCTATGAGTCATGTATCCATCAAGAATTCTCATTGGGTAGACAATAAATGAACCAATACTTTGGTCACCATAGCTGTCAAAAACATTAAAATAGGACTTAAAATCAGAAAATCTGATTTGGTACTTAAATGAGTTCACTTGGAAGCATTTCTTATCTTGCAACTCATAATGTTAAATTTCTTAAGTTACTGTAGGCTTTCAAATCATGGAGGTTCACAAGTTTTTATTTACCTGGTGGGGAAATAAAGTTAGTGTGGTTACGCACTAGATCTTTTTTTCTTTTTTGGCTCTGAAAATATAAGGTTTTAAGTGCTTTCCCTGGGACGAGGATGGGGTTTTTAGTAGTTAGAAGAAGGTAGAATGTTTAGTGGACCAAGGAAATACCAGAATAAGAAAATCAATTGCCATGTGATTTAACACATGTATGCTATTTTTGCTACATCTATGTCATAGTTCCAGGCACTCATATAGACCAGTGTCAGAGAATCCAAACTAATTTTTAGGATGATGCAGGACAGAGATAAATAAAAGGAAAAACAAAAGGGAGAGAACAGGGAAAAGAACTTTCTGCTTAGAAAAGTAAGTTTGCAAATATAATAGTGTTGTTTGAGAGTGTTGCTAGTTTCAACTGAAATTCTAAATTGTTCCCAACCATTTAAATTAAGACTAGAGCTACCATATGATCCAGCAATCCCACTCCTGTTTATATACATGAAAAACTCAAAATCATGTATTTGCAAAATATATGCACCCCTATTTTCATTGCAGCACTATTCACAGTGGCTAAGACATGGAAACAACCAGAGTGCCCTGCGATAGAGGGCTGGATAAAGAAGATGTGGTACACAAACACAAATGGAATACTACTCAGCCATAAGAAAGGATGAAATAGCGCCATTTGCAACAACATGGATGAATCTTGAGAACATGATGCTAAGTGAAATAGACAGAAAAAGCTAAGAACCATATGATTTCACTCATATGTGGGACATAAAATTGAAACTTAGGAATACAAATAGCAGTGTGGTGGTTGCCAGAGGGAAGGGAGTGGGGGGAGAAGGGGATCCTAATATGAGGTGACAGGAGAAGATTTATCTTTTTTTAAAAAATATATTTTATTGATTTTTTACAGAGAGGAAGGGAGAGAGATAGAGAGTTAGAAACATCGATGAGAGAGAAACATCGATCAGCTGCCTCCTGCACATCTCCCACTGGGGATGTGCCCGCAACCCAGGTACATGCCCCTGACCGGAATCGAACCTGGGACCCTTCAGTCCGCAGGCCAGCGCTCTATCCACTGAACCAAACCGGTTTCGGCAGAAGATTTATCTTTTGGTGGTGGGCACACGTTGCAATATACAGATCTTGTAACATAGAAATCCACACATGAAACCTGTATGTTCACGTTGACCAATGTCACCCCAATCAATTTAATAAATAAATAAATTTAAGAGAAAAAGTATTATGAAAGGATGAATGTTTCTTTTTTTTCATATCAAATTCCAATGCTATTCCTTCTTCACAATCGAATTAAAATTTTGGGTTTGCCAAGAGAGTTAAACAAAGCAAAAAAGGTAAGGATATTTTTAGCCACCAAAAACATTTATTTTTTTCTCTTTGTATCAGAAACACCTATACATGAATAGTTCACAGGGCTGGGTAATAATTTCAGTTTGAGTTAATCCTGAATTAATTCACACATGGAGTTCAGTGTTACTCACACCATAGTGGTCTAGGAGGGCTTGTTTTTAAAGGCAAGATTTTTAACACCTAGCTGCAGAATTCTAGAAAATTAATAGCACCTCTGAATAAAGGTTAAATGGGCAAATAATATGATTAAGCATTATTTACTGGGTTTCCCAAATAGGATGAGACTAATATGGTCTAAAAAATCTTGTTCAAGCTACAATGCTTTTCTTCTATTTATTATTTATATGTTTATTTTGTTAATCTTCACCTGAGGATATTTTCCCATTGATTTTTAGAGAGAGGGAAAGACAAAGAGAACTATTGCTGTGAGAGAAACACACCGATTGGTTGCCTCCTGCAGGGCCCAGTCCAGGGAGGAGCCTGCAACCAATGTACCTGCCCTTGACTGGAATCAAAACCAGGAATCTTGGGTTCACAGGCCGATGCTCTATGCACTGAGCCAAACCGGCTAGGCTACAGTGTTTTCCTTTTAAATGCAAAACAACATACATAAACAGAGATTTCATATTAAAGCCAAGATTTTGGTTTTTCGGAAAGACCTGGCAACATTGAACCGCATTCCTATGCAATCAGGGCCTCATTAGGTGGCATTCCATTCTCTTAGCCCACCAGCCCTTGACTAAACTGCATATCACATACCTGCTTCATGACTTGTGGGCCTTTGAATTTATGCTGCCTCTCCCAGTCTCCATACTTTTCCTGTAGATGTATGATGGCACATTAAAGGCTCTGGGAGTCTGGCTAACTATGTTTAATCCAGAATTTCCAAAATTTGTTTGAAACCCATGAGCAAGGATGGCTTCTGGCATGCCTGTGAGGGTGTGGGGATACAGAATTAGAACTAGGACTTGAGTTCTATCTTAACTCTTACCAGTAACACTGGATTAGTTTAGGGCAAGTTGTTCTTTATGCCTTCATTTTTATATCAGAGATAGTTCCATACCCACATCAGATCCTAGGGGTAACTCTAATGATGACGACATGTTATTTGTGAGAAGGCTGAAAAGTGAAAAATATTACAGATATGCAAAGGGCTTTTATTTTGGCTGAGTTTTTGGTAATAGCAGGTCTAGTATTAATGCTCAGTAAATAATTTCAACAGTGTTACATTCATAAGTCTCTTGTTCTAGAGTACCACTCTTTCTGAATAATATTTTTTGAAAAGTTGATATTGGGTAATTTGGCTATGATTTAATGCTGTAGAAAATAACTGTCAATAACTGAGAGGAAGAATGGGTTAGAAGGAAGGAAGGGGGAGGCATTTAGCTAATATTATTATTTTCTGTAATTTCATCAATATTGTAGAATGTATTGAGTTTCGTTTTTGATCCTTTGAAACAGTTGAGATTTCATTTTCTACAATCTGTCCTGGGACATTAGGACATGGGTGTAATTAAGGCCATATTTTAAATTTGGGAAATTTTGCACATTTTCAAGAAGCAGCAGAACCAATCTTTCACTGATGACTGTGAAGATAATTTTGTGAGTACATGAAAGTGTGAGAGTCTCTTATTTTCATTGTAGGAACACTCACCAATAAATGTGACTTTTGTTTTCATTTTGAAAACTGACTTCTTTTCTCAGGCTCATCAGTTGGGGCCTGGCATCTTCAGCTTGCGGTGGATTCCCAGGACAAGGGCAGGCGGGGCAAGATTTGAGAGCCAAGTATGCCTGGCAGCCCGGTAAGTGCTGGGGGTGGAGTAGAGCACAACCCTGAACTCCACTTCCCAAGGAGCTCCCATTTAATAGGGACCCCCCCCCCAAACCATCAATTCTGCTACCAATAAATGGTGAGGAGAATGAGAACATGGTGATAGAATGGGCTTTTCAACCATGGCATTTGGAGCCAGATAACCCTTTGTTGCTGGGGGCTGCCCTGTGCATTGTGGGATATTTAGCAGCATCCCTCACTTCTACCCACCAGGGGACAGTTGTGCCCTTCCAGCTGTGACAACTGCAAATGTCTGCAGACATTACCAAATGTCTCCTGAGAGACAACATCACCCCTGGTTGAAAAATCAGGGTGACACAGGATGCCTGGGGGTGTGAGGGATGTGAGTGGGGAGTGGTGAAGGTTGGTCAGGGACTGCCTCTGAGAAAGAGGTGACATTTGAGTTGAAACCAAACAAGGCACCCACTTGGAGGAATCCACCCAATGCACGGGCCTTGGGGCAGGAAGAAGCTTGTGCATTAAGAGGGAGAAAGTACGGTGTGTTTCAAGGACTAACAGCCATGTGGCTGCAAAGGGCCCTATGAACACTTCTGTTTGAGAAGAGTCCCACTCTTAGAAAACAAAACACTTTATATATTAAGGCTTAAACCTGCTATTCATCACCAAATTATGCCAAAAAGAAATGAATCATTTATTAACGTGCTTCAGTGACACTGTTCTAAGTTTACATATAAAAAGCCAGTTTGGTTGGTTGGGGTGACAGAAGAGGGTATGTAGGGGAAGGATAGGGGGAGAGAGTTACATCCTGGCAGTGAGGGGCTTTTCACAGGGCTGTGTGAGGGCACCCTGGCCTCGGGAGAGGGGTCCTGGAAGAAGAAGAAGGATGGGGTGTCAGAGTTTGATCTACTGGGCTGGGTAGCTGCTGAAACCACTCTTCCCAAACTTGCAGCCCGGAATAGTGGAGAGATGTTCTCCAGTTGTGATATTTGCCTCAGATACCCACTCTCCACACCGTAGGTCAACCCACTTGTTGGGAAAGCATGCCTCCTGTATTTCCACTGGGTGTGTTATTCCTCAAGGCTCAGCTCAAATGTCACCTCTCCAGTCCTGCAGGACCTCACTCCCCAAGGCAGAATTTACCTTGCGAACACTTCTGTGGAGCCCTCTTTAGCTACTGGATGAATATTCCAGGCATGGTGCTATTGCCTAGCTTGGGTCATTCTACACGAGGCCAGGGCCCTACCTTGCATGCGGGGCACATCTGGATGAATTACAGAGACACCCCCCTTCCTTTTTCTGGCTGGCACAGCCTCTGAGACAGGACAAAGGCTTGTCAAATGGAATCTGTCCAAACTACAAGCATAAATAGTGACTATAGTGACCCTATAACATTAGAGATGTGTGAGTTGAGGACACCTTGTATACTGAGCAGTCTGAGGGAAGTGTATGCAGTTTCTCAGCACCCAGCTTACACATAGTAGGTGCTTTCTACGTAACTATAAAGATTGGGGAATAAATTCAAAGAATGTTTCCTAGAACCTCCCTGTGTGTGCTGGGAATGAGGGGGGGAGAGGAAAGCTGAGTGTGTTTTTAAAAAAATTTTTATTGTTCAAAGAGCTGAGTGTTTTTAAAACTTGTTTTGTGAGATAGAAAGAACTCTCTTCATATGACCGGCTGGAGTCTGTGTGCACCTCAAGAACTTTCTGAGACCCGTGCTTTGCA